GCTATCCACTGAGAGGCACAGGGTCCCGAGGTCGCCTCAGCTTAAGTGCGAGGGGTCGGGATGTCAAAGGCGGCTAGGTCACCCTCAGGGACTAGCAGCATGGAGCAGAGATGAGGCGCGGCCTCGGACAGGAAAGCAAGCTCGTACTGCCGGTTCTCAAGAACGTCATTGCCGAGGGTTAGGATCACCCCCGATGGATAGAGGACGGGTAGGTTCAGAGACCAGAGCGGTGGCGTAGTCAAGGCGGGGGGTAGAGGCAAAGTCAGCGATGGCTGCGACAAGAGCGTCAAGGCTCGAGACTGGAACAGATGGGTCGGGAACGAGGGAGGCAAGGACTCGAAGAACAAGAGGACTAGCGGCACGAAGGTAGTCAGACAGAGGAGGCGGAGCGACAACAATCGACGACGGAGGAGGCCACTGCAGTAGAGGAGGATGAGACGCCTGAGAATGGAGAAACATAGGGTGAGAACGCTGAACGGGAGAGACAAGACAGGCACGAGAGGGACGGCGAGACCAGAAGTGGGACGGAGGCGTCAGGTCCGGAGACACATGAGGAGGCAGAGGAGGAGACATAGGAGGAGAACGAGGGGGGAAACGAGCCAAAGGCGAGTCCGGCAGCAAAAACACAGGGCCGTAGATAGGCAGGGGAGGCGGCTGCTGGGGAGGGGCCGGTGGGTGGTCAGGGGAGGGAAGACCAAGGAGGCAAAGGGCAGACACCGGTGGTGATTGCTGCTGCTGTTGCTGATCCATGCCGGCACCAGACCCTCCAGCTGCACAAGGGTAGCCTTCGGGACTCTCCACACCAACACCCCCAGAAAGAGAACCCTCTCCAGCACCGGTGCCACCCCTTGGACCACCATAAGCCACAAGAGTAACCCCAGGACTAGCACCCCCTAAACCAGCACCCCCAGAACGAGTTCCCTCCCCAGCACTGGTGCCACCCCCAGGACCGCCGGGACAAGCCACGATAGTAACCCCAGGACTAGCACCCTGCTCAACGCCCACACCCCCAGAGTTGGCGGACCCCTGCGGCAGCTCCTGCTGTGGCGGCGGTGACTGCAGCTGCTGCTATGGCTGCGACGGCGAAGACGGCTGCTCTTGCGGCGACGGCGGAGGAGGAGAAACCAGGGCATAGATAGGCGGCAAGAACGGTGCCGCGGGGCCACCAGAGTTAGCTGACTCCTCGACCGGGACAACCGACAGGAGGGGATTGACGTGAGATACACCAGACGGGGCAAGACGGGGAGGGAGAGGAGCAGGGGCTGCCTGAGGAGTGGGAACCAAAAACAGGGGCAGGGAAATCGGTAGACCTCGGTGCGGAAAGCTGTGGTAGAAGGAGACAGACTCATAAAAGTGACATCACGCGAGTGAAAGAAGCGGTGAGACGGCGAGTGGTAAAAGTGCCAGTAAGACGCGTCGAGGTGGAAGCCAAGGAAGACACAGGGGACAGTGCGGGCAGTGAGCTTGTCCGTGCCAAAGGCACAAACGTGAGCAAGGCAGCCCCAGACATGGAACGCAGACGCGTCACCAGGGAACCCGGTCCAGAGAAGGGTCGGCGATACCTACGGCCGCTGGGAGTGTGGCCACATGTTAAGCTGGTGAGCGGCATAGAGAACAGCGAACGGCCATAGAAAATGGGGTGCATCAGCATGGATCATGGAGGTACGAGCCACCTCCATGACCAAACCAATGCGTCGCTCAGCGACCCCATTCTCTTGCGGGGAGTCCGGCAGGGTGTATGACTGGGTGATGCCCTCCGCAGGACAGAACTGGCCAAGCCGACCGGAGGCGAACTCGCCGCCACGGTCGGAGTGGAGACACAGCACAAGGAGGCCGTGGTGGACTCGCGTAGCTACGACCCATGGGATAAGAATGTCACGCACGTCGGCCTTCCACTCCAGGGAAACACCATGGTGTAGCGTGTATAGTCGACGAAAGGCACTAGAAAGTAGCGCTTGCGACGCGGCTCAGGGATGGGGGCTAGGCCCCAGACGTCCAGGTGCAGGGTCTGAAGTGGCACAGTGGTAGGGGGAAGCGAGGAGGAACGAGGAGCATGGCGCAGCCGGCCCTCGACACAAGGTGTGCACGGCAGCGCATGCGAGGGAGGAAGGGCAGAGAGTGACGCAGGGAGACTTGGGACAAGACCGTAATGGGACATGTGACGCAGATGTAGGAGTGCGGGGTGACCGAGGCGGTGGTGCCACAGCAGCGACGGGTGAGTGAGCTACCGACATGAGGAAGCCGCAGCAACCTGGGTCGACGCAGGCACCTGGGGGGGACGCCCTCACCGGAGGGGACGCAGTGTCAGGCGTAAATAGGCCATATACAGGGTCTCGGCGGAACGTGGTCAGTGGAGCACCAGTGGTGGCCTCAGTAACACCTCTTTGTATGTACGAAGCTTTTAGCATGATGTACTGAACTTATTATCTGTACCAAGCCTTACATTAAGTATCGACTATGTGGCAAGTACCAAGCCTAGCATTAACTACCAAATCCATGGTAGGAACCAAGACTAACATCAAGTAGTGAGTCTATACCAAGATTTAAATGTAGAAGTGGATCTATGGTATGTACGAAGCCTAACGTCAAGTGCTAAGGCGATGGTGGTGAGGTGCCACCACGTGAGATGCCGCCAAGTGAGATGCCTGTTGGTGCAACCCTATGGCTTGCACTCGGCTTGTCGTCCTTGTTTGTGTGTGTGCATGCATGGCATGGAATGAATTGTGAGCCTATGTTATTGCTATCTAGTGCTTGTGTGTGTGTTTGAATGGTGTATCACAATGTGGTTTGTGTCGGTCAAGACATTAGCGAGTTTTTCAACTCGCATGTCAAGTCGTCGTTTGCGTGTCGCATGTGTTTTTTCTATTTTGTCGAGTGTGAAGTGTCCATCGCGTTGCATTTGTGTGCAGCAAGCCCCCATCAACTCAAGAAGAATTTATCTTGCAGAAGACCAAGAGCTCAAGATTTCAAGCCCAAGGGACGCGGATAAATATTAAATAGTGAAAATAGTAACGCTATTTCGTGTAGTGTTACATTTCACTTGGTATAGCCCCTTGGAGGGTTTATTTCGAGACTCTTCATGGTTGGGGACTCTGTGGTGGTGTACCACCAACCTGGACCTCGGCTCTTGGGGTATGTAGAGGCTGGGAACCATCTCCATCTCGAATTCTTCTTGCTAAGTTTGTACTTCTAAGACTATAGTGGCTGCTATACCTCCTGCCAGTCAAACCGCCATAGCGTCGTCAAATCTTCATGGAATTTCATGATTCAACTTGCTGCTGATAGAAGACAGCAACGCGCTTCAGATACAACTTACAGATCACCGTTTGACGTAGCGAGCAGATCGTTATCAATATTTGAAGCCGTCTATCGAAAATCCAACTGTGCTCTCTAACTCTCATTATAGGCACATCTCAACCTATTGTGATTATAACAATGCCTTCATTTGAGATGCTGCCAGGTGAGGTTCCGCTTGGTGAGATCCCTTTTGGTAAGATTTTTCCATGTGAGATGCGGCCAGGTGAGATGCGGCCTGGTGAGATGCGGCCTGGTGAGATGCCGCCATGTGAGATGTCGCCAGGCGAGATGGGCCTGGTGAGATGCCGCCTGGTGAGATAACGCAGCACTTGTGCAGCAGACTGCAATGTGTCTCCTTTTGCATAGCAAGATTTTTTCTATCGTTTTAAAGCAAGCGTACTCCAAGATCCAAAGGTATTGCTTTTTACTCTGTACTCTGAGTCCATGGCAGGTTCTCCACCATTCGCGCACCCAAGCACGACGCTAATGGAAAAGAAGTGTGGTTTTCCAGTAAACAAGCCCCTGTGTAATCAACCCAGCGCGCAAGTGGGGGAATGCGCTATACGTTACTTTACTCTACCCGCTAGTGCATGCCTACACTTCGTCCACCACTGTCACCTAGTCCCCCTGTCCATCACTAAGGAGCCTACTAAGCTTTACAGTTATTGATACTATTCAAAACTTTTCATTTGAGTCTGTATCAGAAGTGTAGCGAGAGAGGAACTGCACGAGCGGCGGAATTGGTGGCGAACGCAACTAAGGTTTAGTGTTTTTTGTCACCCCATCGATCTCGCCATCACGCCCCGGCTGAGTCCCTCGCTCTCGCTCTCCCCCCCACCCTCCCCCTTCACCCTCCCTTCTCTTGTCTTCTCCCATCCATCCCTTCACTGTCCCGCTGCATAGCACGATTTATGCTAGGTATCGACTGCCCGTAGCTTCAAACTGCGCGGCTCTCTATCCCTAATTTCGAACACATTTTCCTCCTGCACCACCACTTACGCGAAAACAGCAAGGTTTCCTAGTTTACGCTGCTGAGCAGTCCCCCGTTCCCCGCCTTCCCTGCTCGCCATTTCCCCCCAGCTCTGATCGCCGTCTCTCCCCTTCCTTGCATGCTATCCCTCCTTTCCTGCACGCTGTTTCTCCCCTACCCAAGCCGCCTCCCTGCTCGCCGTTCCCCCCTCCTCCGCTTTCCTGTTTTCCGCGATCGCATTTTCCCACGATCCGCGTTCCCGCTTTCCTGTTTCCCAACTTTCCCACGTGCCTGCTTCCCCTCTATCCCGCTTTTCCTCTTTTCCGCTTCCCCTCTCTTCCACTTCCAGCTCCCGGCGTTCGTTTTCCCTCTGTCCAGCATCCCGCTTCCCGTTTCCCACTACCCATTTCCCACAACCGTGTTCTGTCCAACTCCCTCCATTACTCCAACTCCCTTGATTCCTTCCACTCCCTCCATTTCTCCCACTCTCTCCATTCCTCCCATTCCCTCCATTCCTCCCACTCCCTCCATTCCTCGCACCCTCTCTTTTCCTCCCACTCCCTCCATTCCTCCCTCCTCCGTGTTGCCCACCTCTATCTTCTCTGCGCTCCCCACCTCTCTCCCACGCGCGCTGCCCACCTCTTGCCCACTCTCACTCCCATCTCCCTTGTGCTAGAAATTGTTAAATTGCGATGCAATATTATATTACAACACATTTTCCTTATATCGCACAGCATTGCACTGCGATATTTTCCCTGGAAATGGATATATCGCACATCGCATTTTTGCTGCGATAATTGAAAATATCCATGCAACAGACCATTATATTGCACGATGGAATATAATATTGCATCGCATTTAGGGGTCAGGTGTCAAAAAAATGTTTTCTCACACCACACGGCACAACAATCAACACAGGACCCTGCGTAGAGTTTGCAGTTAGGAATACGGTGCACAATGGTGTGAGCCCCCCAGGTATAGGGGCCCGACTTTTGTCGAAGGGTTTCCAATATGGCTAAGTTTGGGTTGGGGGAAGGACAAACGAGTCCCTAAATATCCAGGCAAAGGCATGTAGCGAGCGGTCAATGGTGGTGAAACACAAGTGCATAGCAAGGCCCACCGCAAGACACACCCCCATGCCCTCACAACCCTGGCCAAATCTCCAAGCCCAGCTCCCTGTCTGCTTCGTCCGTCTCGTCCTCTGGCATTGCAGGCATGCCAGGGCACTGCCCAAGGTGAGCGGCGATGCAGGACTTGAGCATCATGCAAGCCCTCATCAGCTCTCTCCCAAGTCAATGCCGCTGCCAGCGGATGAGGTTGCGGCCCTGGGAAAATAGGCGCTCACATGGTGCGAACGTGACTGGGATAGCGGGGTAATCCATCGCCATGAGCCGCAGGGCTGGGAGCTCCTTGCGGAACCATCAGAACTGCAAGGGGCATTTCGATAGCTCCTGCAAGGGGAGCTCCATGTACAACTCAATCTCGTCCTTCGCCATGTGTGCCTGCTAGGAGTGCATTGCCTTGAGATGGGAGAGCACTCCCAAATCCTCTTCCTCCTCATCCCCCTCTTCCCCCTCGTCATCCCCCGCCCCACTATTCCCGCCCCCCATAGTTACCCTCTCCTCCATAGCCACCATCTTGTCAACGACCTCATCCACCTTCTTGTACATCTTCCAACTCTTGCGCACCAACTCCTCAACCTTGCTGACCTCGAGCTCCTTCACCACCCTCGAGCTCCCTGCCATCAGGGGCCTTTCAAACCTAGCCATCTTCAGGGCTAGGTCCGGGGCTGTAGCGTTGTTCAGGTCAACAGTGCTGGAGTAGAAATACCCCAGCATTTTGCCCAATGCCCTGACGAAGCATCGTTCCATAATCGACATCTCAGCCGTTGCCAGCCTCCTCTCCAGCCAATCCAGCACCCCATTATACTATGAAACCACCTGGCTGACCATGGGGTACACCGACCCCCCCCCTGCAAGGATTGTGTTGTTGAACGGCGCAGTGCCAGGAAAGCCATCAACTCCCCAAGAAACTTCCACTTGGCGTTTGTCATGGCCTTCTTGTCCTGCTCCGCCTGTTCCTTGCCATTTTTGCTTACAAGGAGGGGAGGGGGAGGGGGGCAGATTGGTTGGAGAGCTGGTAGGTGGTTCCTTTAAGTACAACCAAGGAGAGGAGGTATAAGGGGCCACTACAACCAGGTTCCCCACAACCACATACCGCACGACTCACAAAGGTCTTGACCAGTCCCTTGAGATTGATCGCCCGCTTGAGCATGGCGCGGGTGGAGCCCCAGCGGACTGGGTTATCCTGCTTCAATTTCAGCACTTGTGTTGCGGGGTTCTGATGATGCTGTCTGTTCTCGAAGGCAGTTGTATTCTTCCCTCTACTGCCAATGTGAGACACGAGGTTGCGCAACTTCTTTGAACGGCGCATCAACCTCAGAAACCCCTACCACAGCCTCCTGCACTATAAGGTTGAAGATGTGGGCAAGGCACCTAGACAAAATCCACATGGATGGAGAACCCTTGAGCTGGTGCAGAAAGACACGATGTCAACAGCCACGCTGGATTAGAAAATGCAACTGTGCAAATGGGCATCATGGGAGTCGGGCATAATGACATAATGGACATGCGCTGCCACGCAGAACAGGCGAGTCTCTTGAAACACACCACCCCCCTGGTCGCACTCCTTGAGCAGGTTGAATGCCGCCCTATTCACCAATGCGTTGTCCATGGTGAGTGGCATGCACCGATCGGCCAACCCCCACTCCTACATGACCTCCTCGAAGATGGTCGCCACCGTCCGAGCTGTATGGTCAGCTGGAAGGGCTCTAAAATCAAGCGTGACCAGCCACAGGTTGAACTCCGCATCTATGTAGTGTGCAGTGATCTAATACTCAGAATGCGCGAAGAGTTTGTCTGTCCTAAGCGCGCCGAGTTCAATGAAAAAATACACGGGAAAACACGCGAACGGATGACGATGAGCCATACAAAACAATTGCGCCCCTAGGGCATGCAATGAATTCAAATGGCAACAAACAAAACAGTAATTTGCGAAAGAAAAATATGCTTGACGTTGATTTTGTGTTATAAGCACTTTAGTTCCTGCCAAATATAGAATACGACTGAAGTCTAACCAATAATACTAACACTATTATGACGAAACAGATCGTGAGCAAACCTTTTAAATCAGTATTGATGCCAATATAACACGAATAAGCCACACAAAAGAAA